GTTATCAGCGTGTGTAAGGGCAAGTAAACAGCCGAAACCGCACACAATATCTGCCAAACAAGCGGGTGAAGGAAGAACAGCCTTGTTTCCTGTTGCTGGAAGGCTGTGTTGTCATATCCTTACCCAGCTATTTTAAATTGCTTTTTGCTTTCTTCCTGTGGCTTAAGGTAAAAGCAGAAACCTCAGGAGCGTTGGTAGCTGGAGCACCTAGTTTGGGGTGTGTTGCGTACCGCCACCCAAAACCCAAACCTGTGCCTGCCACAGCCATGAAGAAGCTTCTTGTTCTCCTTTAAAATCTGAATTAATATGTTTCCCCCTCCCCAGCCCCATAGTTAATGAGTGTCCTGCAAAGCTAGTGTTTCTCCCAGTATTGCTGTAGGTGAGAAATCTTGCAGTGGTTTTGTTCATAAAGCAACCAAGGTCCCAAGAAAGGGTCAATGTGAGATCCCAGGTGACGGGTTAAACCCAAAACTTCTTGCCCCTCACCCTGGTCTCAGACCTCCGAGCAGCTACGTGGTTCCTGGTCGGCTCTCCAAGCTCACCCGGAGCCTGTGCACATCAGGGAAATGACTGAAACGTTTCCAGCCCAGCCCTTGGAGGGGATTTTATTGCGAGATAAAGATCGTAGTTTATTATGTGATAAACGTCAGGATCAACTTTCTCTGTATTTAGTGCCTAGGTTTGTTTATCTGTCGTTGGCATCTGAGGAGTGGTGGGAAAGTCCCAGGCTTGGTTATTAGTAGATTTACTTTTTTATCGAGGAGAGAGGCTGACTATGGAGAGCATAAGGGAGGGAGAGAGGTTTATTTTGTGTACTGAGGAATGGCTAAATCCATGTTTTAAAATCTCTACCCTGACTTGCAATGACCCAAAGCAGGTTTCTGCAAATACAGGTCAAGGAAGGAGAACCTGCAGCTGGTAGCCAGGGCCCTCAGAGGTGTATGATGACTGTATAAAATAATAATATAAAATAATTCTAGTGTGAGTTAAGGACTTAGACAGTGTGCTTCTCGATGTGATCTCCAATTGCACTGACTTCCGTAGCTTTGATAGACCCGAGCTGAGTCTTGGCAGCTTTTTATCCTGGCTTATGTAAAATCAGTGGAAGTGGGGATTAAGATCCGGCAGGTGCCCACGCCGCAAATCAGTCCTGCCAAAATACCTGGCGTGGGTGCTGGGAGCGGGTCCCAGTGGGTGACGAGGGTGACTGGGCTCTTCTGGGCAGGGCTGAGGTGGCAGAAAAATCCAAGTGCTCTTGTGTTACTGCTGGCTCTGGTTTTGGTGAGAGCTCTAGCTCCCGGAGCTGCCTTGCAGGATTATACCTGGGAATAAATCACTGAATAATGACAGAGAAGCATTTCTCCCCCCTGTAATTCCCAGGAAGGATGGTAACCTTGCAGCCTAATTGTTTGGATTAAACAAACCTGGGAATAACTAATCCTTAACTACCGCAGAGTGTGCTGCAATGTCTTGTTGGCAAAACCAATTGCATGTTTTCTTCCCGCTTTCTTAATCTTGTGGTTCTAAAATTAATCAGGATTCAGGATAACAGTCCCCTGGCCATCAGTACTCAGAAAACTTTTTATCTAAATGAAGTTGTTTGGAGTCTTTTTGTTTGTCTTTGTTTTGGTGGGTTTTTTTGTTTGGTTGGTTTTGTTTTGTTTTGTTTTTTCCCCAAAGGCACTTGGGTTGTTGTGCCAGGTTTCTGTTGGGATACAGTGAAAACTGGAGGCTATTTTCTTGGGTTTATTGTAAAAGCTTTTTGTCATTTGAATGCTTTGCCAGTGAGCTCTGGTAGCCTGAATGTTGCTGTATCATTCAGAGAGACCTTTAGCATTTGGTTTCTCTGCACCGTCTTCCTGGCGTGAGTTTTAGAAGGTTTTTAAACCAATGAATCTTTGTTAAAATGCTTCCAAATCAGATTTCTCAAGATACAAGTGCCATGCAGCTTGCCATAGCATGTTACCCCAGGCATCGCACGTGCAGAAGTTGAGCTTGGGGCAGGAAATGTTACACCGGGTGATTCAAGACAGAGTGCCGATGTTGTCATTAATTTTACAAGGTCTTTTTTATTTACTGCAAGTTAAATTATTTTTTTGGAAAGATCTCTAGGAGGTTGTTAGCAATTTCTTTCCAATATAAAGTGCAGAGATGATGCTTGAGGGGCTATACATGGGCTGGGAAGTGTGAGGGGATCCAGTCCTCTGCTGCTGGGTTGCTGCTTTCCCGTGACTGGGAGGGCACTGCATTTAAGCAAAGCATTTTTCAGTGCTGAAGATCATATTAAGCCATTGCTGCTCATTTTCTCTACCCCGTGTTCTGCGGTTGAGTAAGGGAGCAGGCACAAAGGGGATTTGCTAGTCAGCCTAAGAGATTACAGCTTTTAAACTCGTTTGTGTCCCAGCAAACCCTGCTTTTGCATTTATCCAAACAGCATGTGATGCTCTTTACTATGCAAAACTGGCTTTATGAAGTTACTTGCAAGATGACTTCAATGGGATGGAAAAATCTTCCTCCGGGCAGATGTTCCCAGCCTCATTGCTGTTTGTTTCTCTTAATGCATGTGTTGCGTGTATTTTGCAAGTAAATAAATGTCTTTAGTTTTTAGAGCAGCGAGGAGAACTAAAACATCTGTTCTGTGCTTGCCTTCTCAGCAAAAGGTGTGAGAGGAGAGAAGCGTATCTGACCACCAGATGTTCTCCTGAGCCCACTTGGTTGCAAAGACAAAGGCTGAAGACTCTTCTCCCAGCCTGATGGTAGGACTGTGCAGGGCAGCTGGGAGGAGTTTCTCATTACAGGGACTGGTTTCCTCAATCTCTTTTGATAGATAAAAGATAATTAGGGCTAGAGAAAGGCACTTTGCCTGTGCGGAATTATTCTGGGGGCAAATAAAAGCTGGTGGTGCCCATCTGTGGGGTAAGATGCTGTGGGAAATGGGAGCTCCTCAGCTATTTGCTGCTTTGCAGAGGGAAAGAGAGAGACTCAGGAGACCCATTTTTCTAAAAAAGGGTAAGAAATTGGTGGCATATGTTAGTCTGACGGAGGGGACAGGGGAGGACTCTCCTCCTTAAAAACCTGGAGCTTTTAAAGGGAGCCCGTTTGTTGGAGCAGATGGGATGGGAGGTGTGGACACCGCATCCCACTGCAAGTCATTTCTTGGTGGCAAAAGAGGTGAAAATGTAGCAGGGCTTGCGTCGAAAGGAGGATGGTGTTGAGCAGAGCAGCTTTATTTACAGGGAGAGGAAGAGATTAGAGCATGGGAATAGGTGCCATAAATTGTGTAGAGCAAGAAGAGCGGGGTGAGGATGTGGCTCCTCTTCATGCCCGCATTGCTTTGGTTGCTGGGTCTCATGTTGCTAATAGCAAAAAGCACTACTGGGCTCAAGTACCTGTTAGAAAGATGCAGAATAGGAGAGGGGTTTTTAAGCTTTTGTATTGGAAAACCTGAAGCCAGGTGTTCCTAATAGTTCCTATTACAGCAGCAAACCAGTGTTGCTGGTAGTCTTTAATTTGTTCAGTAGGAGAGTGATGAACTATAATGTTTCAAGAGGTAAAAACTCAAATTTGCAAATGAAAGCTTCATCCCTGCTACGGAAGGTCTCAGGTGCAGGACTGACTTGAGCCAAATGACATGGTACCCAGTCATCCCTCTTAAACTCCCAGTGTCTGAAACGCTTCTTAAATAGTCATCTTTTCCTTAAAACCTGGTTGCTTGGAAGATGACCCACTAGAGATCCTCTCATGGAGACAGGTATTAGCTGGTACACCTGAATCACGAACTGTGTTTGATTCAGTGGTTAAGATGTAAAAGGACGGTTTCTGAAGCGATTGCTGCTTGCAGATTCCTGCAGGAGTTAGGAGAAGCTGTGAATCAGCATATGAAAAATTAACCACTTTGCAGCACTGATATTTCCCATCTACTGCAAATTCAAGGCTAAATATTTGCCTCATTTAAGCACATCTTGTTTCTTTAGCATCGTGTAGTTGTATAACTGCTGAATTTTCCCCATTATCTGAGGAACTTTCTTGCCTATGGCAATGTTTTAGCTCCTTAATACCGCTCTAATGTCCTGTAGTTTTTTATTAAATATAGACCACTTAATTTTGTGCTTGAAATAACCCATTTCACAGTTTAAAGCAGTATTTCTATAGCAGAAACAACTGGCTGGTTGGTTTAATATTAAAAAAGCGGGGGGGGGGGGGGGGGAAGAGAAAAGATAATGCCAGTAGCTGGAATGGTTGCATGTAAAACCCTTATGATATCCCAGATATGTGTAATAATTTCAAATATCTGGTGATAATGCAAAAAATTCCAACCTCACTACCGGAAAGAAAGTCAAAGCAGCTGTGTTACATTTTGCCCATCCAAATTACATCTGTAGGGTGGTGGTTGAATATAGACTCAGCATTGCTGCCTGGCTCTGGGAGCTGCCTTTGTGGGTTTGCTGATCATCACTGGATGATTGGGAGGGTGGGGAGGAGGAGAGAGGAGTTGGTGAGATGGGTATAATCTTTAAGTTCGCTGTATTGTGGTACTGGCTTTAATTAGAATTGGTTTTGCTTCCAGGTCTCTGTTCTGTGACAAATAACACCGTGCCTGGGAAATGGAGTGGCCACAGTGCAGCATCCTTCTGGCAGAGAAAGGTTTTTGTGGCACGGCTGTTCTCCGTCTCCTCATGGAAGTTTAATCCTTCTCTCTCTGTACCATCTCTGTCCTTGCTCCCCGGGGCTAATTATTCATATCTGAATAGAGCGAGCTAAAATCTCCTGCTGTGCTTTGGCACTTTTGGGGTCCTTGGCTGCCTCATCCCAAGAGGTGAGTCAGCGTTGCTTTCCCGCGGGGCGGCTCTGCCGCTCCGATACGGAGCTGTCGGACCGAACGCAGGGGGTTAAACCCGAGAGGCAGAAAGATGCGGCTCAGGAGCAATGTCAAAGTGAAGCCCATGTCCTTCTGCCCTGTGGGCCTTATTTTTTCACATCAAATAATGCTTTACACTGCGTATTTCTCAAATGACTTTAATCACATGTGTAGGAAAAATATCTAGATATACAAACTGTGAATCTGTCATCTAAAAATCCGTATTTTAATTTTTGCTGCTGTTTATATTTCCTGGTACAGAAGGTCTGTGCTGGTGATCGCTTTCTGATCATGGATGCAGTCAAAGACCGTCTTTTAAAATTTCCACTGTAGGATGGCTTCAGCCAAGCCTGGGGCCGGTGTTCAGGGTGGCTTTTTTTAGCTTCCATTTCTGGGCTGAAGGCTCAAAGAAGAAGGAAATAGGTGAGATGAGAGCACAGGCTCCAGCAAAGAGGAAAGAGCAGACATATGTCTGGGTGTAGTCATACAGCCACCCTGCAGGAGAAAAGATTGTTATTAAAGCTGTTGGATTTTTCTCACTGAAAAAATCATTTTGGGAGGTGGGCGGGAAGCAAAGGATGTGTGTTCTCATTTAAGAATTCCTCAGATATTTGCTTTAAATTGTCTTAACTCTTAATGTGCCTGCTGCTGTGCAACATTTACGTAGGCAGTTGAGAATACCACCACTGGTATAACAGGCAAACTTGCAGGTCATTCTTCCCAAAGCTAATTTCTCCCAATCCTTGTAGTGGACATGGGTTTTAATTTGATTTAATTTAATCCCTGGCTCTTTTTTTCCTGCCTAAATAAGCAGGCCAAAAGTAGTTGCTGCAGCAGATGGAAGATCCCACTGGACTAATGAGATGACTTGCATGTGTTGGTGTTTGCAACATCTGGGCTGCAAACTCTGGATTCCCCAGCCTTGCCTTTTTGTGAGCAGCCCCAATTTAATGCAACCTGCCTCATATGAGAGATGCTGGGCCAGGAGCTTGAAGTGAACTTGCTTAAAAGTAGCTTTATGAGCACTTAAAAGGAAAACATAAATTCCATAAAGACTCAGGAATCTGTGAGGAGGCAGGTCACCTTTTAAAATGACCTCAAAGTGTTTTGTTTAATTATGGCATATCATCTCACGTCTAGGGAATCATTTTAAAGGTGGATAATTCCTCCGTTTTAAACTAAAATACACAAAGTGTTGAGAGTTGCTGCTGCATGTAATAAAAACCTTAATATACTCCGAAATCTGGCATGGGGTGGTTGGATGTCCAAGGTGGGTTAGCAGATGAGCCAGACCTACTGCTGGCATAAAATGCAGTTCTTCTGGTGACATCCATGGACTTGCATGATTTACACAAATGGCAGATCTGGCCCAATTCTGGTGTTCTTAAAACCAGTTCTGGTTAGGAAGGGCAATAATACAGTCCCCAGAGACCCCGGGTTCAGCCGTGCAGGAGTGTTGCTGCCGCTGTTATCGGCGAGTGCCACGGCTCCGAGTAGAGAAGGAACCAACGCCGGTGAAATTTGGGGATCTGCGATAAACCAGAGGCGCTAATGCTTTCCTTGCTGTAGATTTACACGGCTGCAGGGAGGTTTTATAAAACAGAAGAAAGGCTGCAGGCTGCCTTTTTCTACCCCAGTTTCAGTTTCTGTTGGCTCATGCCTTTTCTCGGGGGGAAGTTTCAGCCCGGGTTTTTTTCTCAGGGATATCGTGTGAGCCATGGCGCAGGCGAAGGTGGAGTTTGCTGTCGGAAAGGAGGATCCTGCGGTGCTGGACTTGGTGATGTGTGTGGCTCTCCCATGACCCTGATGTTTTTGTGGAGTAGTTTATTCTCAATGGTGACATCTGATTTTGCTATCTGAATGTTTCTGGGATTTGGACAGGAGAAGGGATACTAACGTAGCTGTTTGTAAGATGTACAGGACAGAGTGCTCTAGTTGAGCTCTGATTTATTTAAATTGTTTTTAAAATATTCCTCAGGATATTTTTAAATTTTTCTGGTTTTTTTTGGCACTGAAAGACCAGCATTGCCTCCTCGCTGGCAGCACAGTGATCACCTTCCACTGCATGACACCCCAGCATTTTAAAGCACATACAGTGTCTGTGCCCCTGTTCTCTGTCCAGAAAAAAAAAAAAATCATTCCTGCTGCAGAAAGCCAAATTAGAAGCTCTGTGCAAACTTCAGCAAAGCAGCAGTTTTGTAAGCAATGCCGCTAAATCCCTGGAACCTAAGTGGTCCAAACTAAACATCATGGCACATGCTCATGCTGCAGGTTGTGGTCAGGCTGTTTAAATCAGGCTGCTGGTCTGTAATCAGAAGTTTTGTTTATTCCTGGTGCCCTAAGTAGCAATACCTAGTGTGAAGATGCAGGTAAAATTTAGATGAGGGCATTTAAATGCACGTGCCAGCACAGCTTTCAACTGACTCCATCCTCTCCCCTTTCACCACCCAAATTTGCTGGGGCTGGTGTTTATGGGCTGGTTGCTGGAATCTGTTTTCTAATTTTGGATTACATGGTTTGTTTTATTTCTTTTGCAGTTCAAGTTACTGATGGTGTACTGCTTAAGGAAATAAAATGTACTCTTCTCTCCTTTGTTTGCTTGCGGCTTGCCAAAATAATGTTTGTTCTGTCTTGTTCTGTTTTGGTTTTTTTTTCAGCATGGCAGAAGCATCCAGCAGTGCTGGCGGTTGAGGAGCTATGAAGGAGCTTTCAAACTTTTCACCCTGGGCCTTCGGTCAGGCCGGCTGCCTCTGGATTTAAGGGCTTTTAGTTAAACAGATTTGCAGGTAAGTCACCTTTTCGTTGCATTGCGATTAGGCTTTGTTCTAGTATGCAAAATAAGCATTTTTAACCTTTGCAGTTCTCGTTATGCTTTGGGTTTCACTGCATAACGATACTTGAGTTTTAAAAAATTGTAATTCTAAAGTCAAGGTTTTAGGGATGTCAGAGAGACTTAAACCCCAGGGTCTCACATAGCATTTGATTCCTGGTCTGTATTCTGCAAGGAGCAGATGCTTTTGGGCACTTGATCAGTAGCTTTTAGTCATAGTCAGTGTTCACACTTAATACAGCTATATTGGAAGAGAAAGTTGTAGAATTTCTCTTGGATCACAAACCTAGATCCTGAACTCTGAATTGTTTCCCTCTCTGCCTACAGTGAGATGGATCAGCAAGAGTTTTGCTTCTTGGCTTTATTTGGCTTTTATTTATCTCACCAGTATTAAGACGACTGATTTCTGTGGAATGCTTTTTGCAGGAAATCTGCTTGCTTTGCGAAATCCAGAAGCGTCACATGGTGAGTGGTTAGCACTTTCAGAAAGCAAAAGGCTTCCAATTAGTGAAAATATATTGGAAGCGGATGAAAGTGTAAACTGCTATCTTAGCATGTATGATGCATGGATGAGAGATAGCCAAGTTATTTAGCTCTCTTCATTCTGTATGGTACTGTGTTGGGGGATTTACTGCGATGGTTGTAGAGGGATTGCTTTCTGGTGGACATATATCTTGTATCGGCAGAAGAGATCTTGTCCAATATAGGCTGTGTATCATTGTGACAGTGTAAAGCATGCTGTCAATGAAATGCCTTAGTTGCTTGAAATTGCATCCATATACAGAGTTTTACCAACCTAGAAATATTGATTAGGGAAATCAATTTTTTCACGTGCTCGCAGCACAGCCAAAACTCTGCATGGAGCAGATCTCTACAGAATCCTTGGCAGCTTTGAGCAGAGTGTCTCTGCAGGCATGGGGCAGCTGATAGCGGAGGGCAGGAAGCAATAAATGAAGAAAAAGTCGCCAGGTTTTATTCAGGATACATTTGCTAGGTGAGTGATGGGATATCGTTCACACTGGTGTTTGACCTTGCAGCTTTTTGTAGTTTGTTTACATCGTGAGGGCCGAGAGAGAGCTCAAGTCCTGTTTCCAGTTATGAGGTATGGCTAAAGGGTCATCAGGGAAAGGAAAAGCTTTGTCCTGGCCAAGATGTTTGGAGGAGAACAAGTCCCTTGCTCGTAAGCAGAGATTGGAGACTCACTTCTAAGCGCTTGAAATCTGCCAGATACTCAAAACTGCCTTGGTTTTCTGGCAGAGGGAGTAGAGGAAAGGCTTTTCATCCTCTTTATCTTTGGGCCCAGGAGCTCTTGTGGCTGAGCTGTGTAATCTTCTTCAAAACAAGAGATTACTGAGACTTCTCCTTATGTTTCAGTGCCTTTGCTTGGTGGGACTGCTGCTGAGCCTGTCCTTGCTTTACCTTCTTCTCCTTGTCTCCCTTCCAGTCCCCCTGTTCCAAGTTCAGTGCTAAAATGCTCTGCTGGGAGTGAAATCCGTGGTAATGTGGTCGTTGCTCTTCTGCTGTGATCAGGGTTAAAATGTGCACGTGGGGTTTAGCCTCCTTTTATCTGTGCAGCTATTTTCCAAACTGCTAGTTGGGTTTTGCAAATTCATGAGCAAAATATTGCCTGTGTGTAAAGATAAATTTCTGAAATATGGTTGGTGTTTTTCTCCCCACCTGGACAGAGAAAAACCATCCTTGGATGCGTATGGGTAGGAGAGTGAACCAGCAGCATGTTTCATTACGGGATGTCTGCGGTGGGTATATATTATACATAACATAAGTTACCTGCTAGAGGGGGTCCACTGATGGCTGCTATCCCAGCAAAGAAGGCAGCAAACCCCAAGTAGCTGTGGAGTTTTTGCACACCCACTAGATCTACCTGTTTGTAAAACAAAGTGGATAACTATTGATCGAGTTCATGTGAATGCGCAAGCACAAGACCTTTTCATTTTTTTTCTGGGGAGTTTCCTCTTCAGCTGCAGCTTTGAAAGGACTTTGCACCTATAGGTCTGATCCAGCCTGGAATCTGCTCGCCTCCTTAAGGCCAGCATGGAAATTACTGGGATGTAAGATGCTTCTCTGCCTTCCAGCTGCTTGGGCATCTCCTGAAACTAGTAACGCTGCTAAGACCTTGAGAAAGGTGTTTTAAACTCTAAATTCCTTCCCAGAAAGAAATGCCAAATTACAGTGATACCTCCTTGTCTGGATCCTGCCATAATCAGTCTGTGTGTGTTATAAATAATTCTGGGATTGGGACAGATATGGACAAGCCTCTCTCTTAGCATTAGTGTGGTGGGGACCAGGATGAATCCATTCATTTCCTATGAGCTGGAGCAGCCTCTTTCAGAAAGGAGGATGTGGAAGGTGATTAGCCGGGCAAGGTCATTAAAAATCTGCAATAAACTCCCCGTCCTTCTGTTGCATCTGGGCTGTGGATACCAGTGAGTTGGAGAGGGGATTGGGGGCTCTCCAGTGGCTCAGAGTGGGAAGGCTGGAGGGGAGAGCCCTCTCATGCAGGTCTACAACAGCCCAGGGTAATTCAGCTTTATGAAAGGTTTTTCAGATAATTTTGGAATACTGTTGGAAATGCTGCATAATACATTTGTTTTTAATGAAATATCCTACTCACCAGCACAGGGAGGACCAGAGCCATGAACCCACCGCAGAAAACAGCGAAGGCCACGGCGTAGGTCATGAGTAACGGGAAGGTGGTGGCCAGGGGACCGAGCAGGTTGGTGATGCCGCCGAGGACAAGGTAAGCCACGTGGTAGTGATACTTCTTGGTCCAGTTCTGGTCGGCGACCCAGCCCGAGAGCAGTTGGCTGACTGTCTCCGTCACACCTGGGGGGAAGAAGAGTTCACTGGAGCCTCCAAGAAGACTACTTTTTTTTTTTTTTTTTTTGCTATTTTGCACTGCGTTGCTCTGAAACGCATCTCAATTCCACTTGCTGTTCGTTGTAAGAACGTGACCACAAAGAGCTGAAATGCCAGGAAGTTACAGGAAGGTGTTTTTAGGCTGTTGTAAAATTCATGTTTTGTTTTGGTTTGGTTTTTTTTTTTTTCCCTTAACCTTGGTGCCTGCTATTGCCAAGTGCCTGTGGGTGCACCAAAGTGGTCTTTAAAAATTCAGTTAAGGGCTGTGCACTCAGCAGCAAACTCTGAAATGCCCTTCAGTAAAAATAGGAAAGATAAGCTTGCTGTTTGATCTCTTCTTCAAGATAGAGAAAAAGCAGAATATTAAGAAGAAATGTGCTTATGAGATTTTAATTTTTATAAAGAAGCAAAGAAGGACAGAAGCCCAGCATTTTTTAAAGGCGCAGCAAACTTTTGATACTTGATTTTTACATTTCTCGATACATTTTTATGAACTAAAGATCAGAGGAGTGCTTACTAATATCGTGCTGACCAGTGTCCCTCCTACTCTTAATTCAAAATATCAGATTAATTGCTGTGCTCTCTTTCTGGATGCCTTGACAGCATACATAATTTCTAAATATTCTATATCAGTGTAGAAGTAAAATTTATTTTTGTACAATAAAATATTTTATGATGACTGAGATTGGAGCTGCTTTCTTAACCCAATGCAACTTTAGTGTTAATCCTTGTTTATAATCAGGCATGTTCTTGTTTTCTGGGGGGTTGTGGGTAGTTTCTTCCCTCCTTGGAGGTGAATGTGCCAAATGCAAATGGCTAGATCCAAGTTAATGTGTGGGTTTTTTTTTTTTCCCCAATATTGAATTTTTCTTTCTCTGCACACATTCCTGGGTCAAACTGGAGGTCTTTGAATGCTGAGTGACTCTGGATTTCTGTGGCTTGTGGGTTTAAGCAAAGCAGGGATCGTGGTGGGAAGGCTTTAGGAGGACAGATAGCACCTATGTAATTGGAAACTTGTGTTTGTTTGGTGCGGCGAGGATGGGGGATCATCTAGCTTAGGTTGAGAGAACCACCCACCATGTGAGAGCGACTTTGTACATGTACAGAAGGCAACGCTATATATACAGAAAGGGGTTAAGGGCTGTGAGCTAAACCTCTTCCATGAAGATTTATTCTAGGACATATTTGGGACTATTTCTTGGCAAGAATGGTGTTGCTTTTCTTTCCTATTTTGGTATCATTGTAATTATAAATGAGTTTAAAAGATTCTTTTGCCTACCAGCCACTGAAATGAGGTAAGAGGCATCCATGCTGCTTATGCCCAGCGTCCTGGCTCTTGCTACCAGGTGGAAGATGGGCACGAAGTAGGCCAAGTGGCTGAACAAAAAAGACCACGTGAAAATCCAGAAGACGGGGTCCTTTAGTGGGGAGAAGTCGAAGAGAGGCTGTGAACTTTCTTTTTCGGTCGGTGGAAGGGATTTGTAGCTTTTCTTGGCCTCGGTGGCTATTTCTGGCGAGCAGCTGTCCCTGGGGGGTTTCTCGAGCCTTTCCAGAGCAGATGTATTTACTGGACCAGAGGCTTCTCTGCCATGGGACATCGTGAGCCCCTCCGTGGTGGGAAGGTCCTGTGCACTGCAGCGCTGTATTTCCCCACGAGTGGTTTCATCTAAGCAGCCATCGAGGGTTTCTGAATCCTCCTTTGCCATTAAAGACCCACAGTCTTGATTTTTAGCAGAGGACGGTTGAGGCGGCTGGGTGCTGGCAGGTCGCAGCAGCATGCTGGAGGGCACGAGGTTTAACATGATGCCTCCAAAAATCAGGAGAGTACCTGAGGGGAGACAGAAGATGCTTTTCTCTTGGTGTGGGAAGGGAGGAGCAACAGGAAATTACCTTTCTAGAACGGGGTTTACTTTGTGTTGAACATGGAGAAAGCTCTGCCATAAGGAGGATGTACCTTACAGGAGCTTTTATTCCTGTTTTTCTAGCTCGAAGTCCCTTTTGCTGTGATGCAGGCAACAAATCCAGAGCTACCTCTGGGATCTGGGAGTTTGTTTTGCTTTCCCTTGTTAGAAGTCCATTATGTGTGACAGACCTTCAGGATGGCCTGAAACAGTGCAGTAAAAGTAGGGATTTTCAGTTTTGGTTTTGGAGATCTCTGTTTTGTCTCTGACTTAACTTTAATGACTGATTAAGTGCTTGATCATTAACAAGATGTCCCCAAGCTATCCTAGAAGAGGCAGAGTTGTTCTTCAGTGCATCCAATTTTAATTTTTAAGAAGAGCCTCTTATCCTGCCCAGATACCCTCAAACGCCCTCTTAGTGCTGCTGAATTGGAATAAACGGGAGATGTGCTCACCTTGCCAGCCATAGAAATCGATGAGAAGTTGAGTGAACGGCGCTATTAGAAACGTCAGCCCCATCCCGGAGCGGGCGATGGCGTTGGAGAAAGCCAGCCGTGTCCTGCAGCGCTTGGCTGTCATCACCGCGGCTGCCTGGTAAAGGCAGGCGAACCCCATACCTGCGGGAAGGGGAAGAAATGGAGATGTCCATGCCCAAAAAGCAACTGCTTCATATCGTGAGCTTTAGGGGTTCAAGGCTGTGCCATCCCAGGCTTGTTGTCCCCATAGCGGAGGTGCTCTGCAGGGTTCGTGGCCTGAAAGTGGGGGGAGCTGCTGCTGTTGCAGTCAGTGGGGAAGATTTTCATGCGTGATATTGAGTATCTGGGGTTTTCGAGGCTGTGCATTTTTAGTAAGGGATTTTAAAAGGCCAGAGTTCATGTTGGGTCCAGAAAAAAAGCGGAGTTAGTTGGAACTAACATGTTGAAACTGGTGTTTTATGCTCCTGAGCATGAAGCTTTGGGTTTTCACGCATCATCTCATAGAAAGGAGCTGGGGATGCTTTACTATTAAAGGAACTGCCTGGTTTAATGTTAAAGGAGCCGCTTTTACTCATTGTGCCCAGGAAAATCTCTGCCCGACTATGAGTCGCAGGCTGCTCACCCAGGAGAAGTCCCATGGAGACGCAGAGGAAGGGGACGCTGGTGGCCTGTGTGCTGAGCAGGCAGCCCCCTGCGACCAAGCCGGCCCCGATGATGGAAGTCGGCCGCTCGCCCAGCCTCCTGCAGACCACGGCCACGAGCGGGGCTGGAAGGGAAAGGAGGGAGAAGTCTTGGGCTGAAGATGGCAAATGCTGCTTTGCAGGGCTTGGGGACTTGTATTGGGGTCGTTGCATCTGGTGCCCCGGGAAGTGGTCCAATGTGCCACCTTGGGAGGGGGTGACAAGAAATTTGGGGTGGGTTAATATTCAGGAGAACAGTCAAGAGACCTTGCCTAGTATGCCGGGAGCTTGGGGGGATGGGGCAGGGGGAGTCAAACCCCAAAGTTTTAGATGTCCTGAGCCCGCTTCCTAATGAATTAGTCAGCAGCTGGCTCGCTCAGAGGCAATAATATTGGTGTTAGGGGTGAGGCTTTGCTCTGAACGTATGTAATAAACCTGCTACAGCGACGTGTCGTGACACACACGATCCCCGTCCTTGGACCATGCTCCTGCTAAGACACGTGGGGGTACCAGCTGTGTGCGGTTTGCAGCAGTCTGGGATGGAAACTGGATCTGCAGAGCGTCCTCGGTGCCTCTTAGAGCAAACGGGCTCGAGGTTGAAGCGCTGCCCCAATCCCTGCGGACGCCGGCTCACCTCCTAAGAAGCGCAGCGAGGACATGATGGAGCCGATCCAGCTGACTTGCTCGGAGGAGCCCCCCACCTCCTCTTGGAAAGCCACGAAGAAAATCCCAAAGGTCTTGAGCATCCCCATCACGAGTACGTTGACCTGAATTGGAAGCAGATGGAGGTGACGTGCCACAGGGGTCGGGCAGGAGGAAAAGCTTTTTCTTCTGCTTTTCTTGTGTGGATAATTTGTTGTATTGCGGAAAACCAAACTGGGGGCACATTAACTGGTGGTGTGTGTGTTGGGGGGAATATCAGCAGGGTAGATGACTGGTGGTGGCCTCGCTGCAGTTTTGTCTTAACGGACCCTCAAAAAAACCTACTGTGCAAACTGGCTTTCCAAAAAAAAGAAACAAAATAACACTAGAGCCTGACTTTTGTACAGTTTTTTTTGCTCTATAAGTTATTTTTTAATACTAAAAAATAATCTAAATGGGTCTCTGCATTACTGGTGATCACTGGGAGTTGATGAGGTGTTGAGCAGAGCAGGGATGGACATTAGCCAGTGCAGTTTCCCAGGCTTGCCCTGCCACGGGGGCAAAGGACGGTTTGTGTCCTTAATTTTAACTCCCCCTCTCCTCCTGGGTAGCGGGTGGTTAATGATTGGCAGCGAGTTACTTTGGAAGGAGTGGAAGTGGGGAAAGCTTTCCTGCACTTCCCAGGTTTCCTGGCTGGGAGATGGCATTGTCTTCATCGCTGACAGGGGAAAATGGTGTGTGGTGTTAAAGCCTGTTGCGTTGGGAATTAGTGCCTTTAAGTGGTGTCGGGATGCCTGGTCCTCCTGGGAGAGAGTAACCGCGTGTGTGTGTGTGCTGCTGGCACCCTGTGCTGCTCCTGCAGTCAGTCCCATCTCAGCTCCAGTCTGCTGCTGCCCCAAGGTGGGATCGCGCCCTTACCGAAGGTACAAGACACCCCTTTGGGGTTTGACACCCCAGTGATGGTGTGTGTGAGTAAGGAAAAGTCATCTTATTGTTGCAAGCTGCCTTTTGGCCCTTGGGCACCCTCATTTACATCACAGAGATGTTTTCGGGTGGCATTTTGTAGGGAAAGGGGTGTGTGTGTGTCTGCGCAGCCCGCGGTGACACAGGTGATGGCACTGTGTGTAGCAAAGCACGATTGATTTTTTTGCCCTTAGCTGGGTGGGATCAGCCTGTCCTGTCCTCTGCTCCATGTGAGTGAGACTTGAGACTTTCTATCTGCCCCAGGTGCAGGAGGGTTTAGTTGAATTTGTTCCCAGCTTACCAGGAAGAAGTGAAACACCACTCCCCATGCCCACCCTCTGTCCGCAGCTTCGGTGCCTGGGCTCTTCCCAGCTGCCAGAGCCTCCGTCTTTTCCTCCTTTCTTTCCCCTGGAAATGAGAATTTCAGGACTTAACACCGTGAGCCATTGCTGTTTCAATTCAAAAACTATTCCCCCAAAGGAATCAGCAGTCTTTGAACCCTCAAGTCCTTGGCTGTTAATGAGGTAGGCACTACTATTCTGCATTCAGTTTGCAAAAGCGTTTGAGGGTGGGTGAAGCTTTTACCAAGCTTTTTGCCAACAGATCTTAAGTTGCACATTATTACTGCCTGAAAACAGTTTAATATTCTTGTTCTTTCCCACCAAATGAGTGTAATCATATAAGCTTTAAGGGATTTTAAGTGACAAGCACTACACTGCTGCTTTAGAGTGGATTGTTTGAGTGGTTTGTGCCAGCAGTTGGGGGTTCACTGTCTATATCCATCTTTAAGCTCTCCCTACCCCATCTCTGCGTATCTCCCTTCCATCCTCGCCTGTCCTGTGCCTCTGGCAGGATCCTGCCTGGGGGAGCAGCTGGACCCTACAGCAGTCGGGGCCGATGAACCTGAAACTTTTCCTTACCGCCTTGCTGCTGCATGCTGGAAAATCCTCCCTGAAACAGTCGATTGCAAAGAGGAATTGTCTCTTCATTTGCTCCAGAGACTAAATCCCCCCCTTCCTGACTTGGCACCCCAAAACCTCGTCCTTCATTCGCCTCCAGTGAGGATGATGAGCCCTGAAGTGGGACATGGAGCCCGTCGTCCTCCTCCTCCCCGGAGGCAGAGCCTGGCTTGTGGGGCCCCAAGGCCAGGAGTCCCTCCCCTTCCCCAGCTGGGAGCAGGAAACCCGGGGCTTTCGGAGCAGAAATCCTGTTGGGAGGAAGGAGGAGGGGAAGCCTGCAAGAGTTATAGCTCCAGGCAAAGCCCTGGGTCTTGCCAGACACTGAGCAAGGCGGTAGGTGGCAATGGGGGACTGAAGCCAAGCCTGGGGCTGCTGGCAGCCGCGGGGGAGCAGAGCCCTGTCCCTGCCTGTCCTGCCTCTGCCGAGCAGCCCTTGGCCCGGGAAACTGCGTCACTGAGGAGGGGATCGTCTGGGAAGCTTTAGCTTTTCCAGTTAAGGTGGTCGGCAGCTGGAGCGGAGCAGCTGTGCTGCCGCAGCCCTCGAGCGGAGCTGGAAGTTGAGCGAGATTTGAGTTGGCTCCGTGCCTCTATTGTAAATATGCACAAACTCCCGGGTAAATACAGCCCTCACGCTTCCTCCCCCCGTTTCAGCTGACCTGTCACCCCAATCGGTGTTCCTGAGGTCAGATAAAATTGTAGGATTGTGATAGTGATCTCTGCTCCCCTCCCTTGGCAGAGAAGGCAATGATCCATCTTACTGGGGGAGCCCGGGATGTATCGGGACCTATGGAGGAGCTTTCCCTATAGCAGGACTCCCAATGAGTGCATTAAGCCTTTATTTAAGTGGAATGTTTTTTGCAGTGAGTATGGTTTAAGGGCTTGAAGGACAGGTGGGCTTGGCAGGCAGGGAGCCAGGGGGTGCTGGCAGCAGCGTCTGGTGCGGCACCTGCACTTGGAGCTGTCGGGTGTCTGGGTAGAACCGCTCTGGCTTGAGCTGCTCCCGGCTCCCTGGGCTGTCAGGGTGAGGGGAGAAGAGGGACACTTCAAGAGTGGCCCAGAAACACCACCCCCGGCTGCTGCGGCCGGGTTGTTACTCAGAATTAACCGACTTCAGGAGCACGGAGCCCAGCACCCCGGGCAGGCTGCTCCTACCTGCCCATTTCATACACAGCAACGACTGCAGGACTGTGAGCACCGCTGATAAATGGGGCCGCTCCCAGTACTAAAGTCAAAGCAGCATGCATGTTGTTTTATCTCTGACCTAGCCCAGTTTTTCAGCTCATGCTTGGCTTTGAAGCTTCCCTTCCGTTTCATGCATGAGGACAGCTGCAGGCCAGCTCCTTTTTACTCCTTTACACATAGGAAGCATTTGAGTGTAACAGTTTTGCAAGGGGAAAGCTTTTGTGCAGGATTCAACTGTCTGAATCTGTAAGAGGGAGAGAGGCTTGAATTTGTGAGGATGTTGTCAATATCCATCTACAGTTCACACAGGTGCCAGGGCCAGCACACACAGGTTTGAACTTCAAGACAGAGTAAGCAAGTAACTCTCACACAGAACGTTTAACTAGAGGAGGCTAAACATCTCCTTGGAGAAATTCCTTGGAAAGCATTTGGACATTTTCTACTGGAGGTGCCTCCGCTAATTCAAGTCCTCATGCACTATTCCTCTTCTCTACAGAAACACTAAGGAAGAAGGGATTGGGAGAAGTTGCCTCGCTTGGCTTTGGAAATGAGGCAAAGCAGCGGGTAGAGTTTTCACAGCCAGAGCAAAGAGAAGCAAAGCCGTGTTTTTGCAGGTCATTTATTGATTCCTCCAACAAATAAGGCCACGTACACACATACACCTTGTAGTATCTGATCATTACACAAGCTTGGTGAGTGACCCACATTTCATCCTCAGCAGTACAAGTGCTAAAATGTGAGTTGGAGACCCTGATAGCTGCACAGGAGCTGTTAAGTGGAGAGGGAGAGCCTTCAGCTCAGGTTTGGTACTACAAGCACGTTCTGCACTGGAGCAGCAGAGGAGAGTGGTTGTCCAGTGAGGAGGAGCTGGGCCAGAGCTGGGAGTGGAGCGTTGCACAGGTTCCCGGGGGTCAGGATGCCAGCTTGTGCACTGCTACAGTGATGCTATCGTGCTTCTGGATCATGATATTCCTAGAACAAGAAAAGTGCTGAGGCAGTTGAGAAGCCAGCTGAGATGAGGAGGAGCTGACAGGGGTGGGAACCCCAACAGGGGTATAGTTCAGTGGCTGCAGCAACCCCCAGCTCTGTGCTAGACCTGGCGGTCGCTGCATCTCTTCTGCCCACTCCCATGAAGAATCTTGGAGAAGTCTTTGCCTACTACACTGTGGCTACAGCCTGGGCTTTGTTATCCGTGGGGAGACCAAGTATAGATGAAATACAGAGCTGCAGTAACTGCCGCCCCCTGAAAGGTTTCCTACTGCTTTTGCAGTTCCTGCTTCTTGAGCTCCCATTAATCTAATGAATTCACAAGCCTATGGCAGTGACTGCCTTCTCCCCACAGCTTCAGAGATGGGGCTTCCTCCACATCTGCCAGTTTAGTTCAAAGGAGGAGAGCTGCTCTAGGGATCTGGCTCTGGGGTGGGCCCCAGGGCTGGGGGAAAGGCAGAGGGGGTAAAAAGTGGCAGCCGCGGGGCTGGAACCTCACCCGCTGTCCGACTCCAGGCACACCACGGGCGTATCGGTCGGGTCGGAGGTGAGCTTGGCTGCCTGCTGGGCAAGGACGGAGATGACTCCGGCGTGCTCATCCGAGAGGGTTCCTCGGCCTGCGAGAGGGGGGAGATGTTGGCTAAAGCCACGCGGGCCACGCCAGCGCTGCACGTGACGCAGCCCCCCCACCGGGCCCATTTCCCTCTCCCGCGAGCAGCATCTCCCCAGACTGTTGCCCTCAAACCACCAAAAAGCCAGAATTTTATGTGACAGGAAGAGCTAGCTCCGGTTTCCTCCAGTGCGTGCAGGGAAGCTGAGTACCACGGCGCGGGTGGGTGGGTGCTGGGGGGGTCCCTTGGGGACACCCAAAGGTGGGAGGAAGGCTACGATGGAGCAGGGCCAGCCGTCCTCAAAGGGTGGTGGCTCATGCAGGACAAGACCTGGTACCCCCCAAACGGGGAGGGCTCCAGTAGGCCAGGTCCCAGTGCCCCCCCAACCCCCGGGAATCCTTCGTGGGACCGAGCGCCCACCCTGCCAGGGCTCTCCGCTCCAGTGGGGGAGGCCCCGGTACCCCCCCGGCCCCGGCGGCGTGTTCGGTTACTTACAGCCCAGGTTGAGCCCCTGCGAGTCGGTGCAGAGGACGCCCACCACGGCCGGGCTCTTCATGCTGCGGGGAGGGGGGGGGGGGGGAGACAGCGGCGGTCAGCGCCGGGGCGGCCCCGCACGCAAGCCCGGGGCCTCGGGCCGGACTAGGCCCAACTCCCCCCTCACCCCCACCCCGCGGCCCCGCTGGGGCACGGCCAGCCCTGCCCCTGTCCCCCGTGTCCCCCCCCCCCCCCCTCCCCAGCCCGTACGTGTCCTCCAGGTGCTGCTCCAGCGTCCCCTCCATTCCGCTGCCCCCCCCCAACCCCTCCACTTCCGCCCTTACCCGGCCGCTCCTGGCAGCGGCGTCGCCCACGTGACGTGCTCAGACGGCGGCGCCGCGGGGCCAAAAGGCCTGGCCCGCGGGAAGGCGCCCGCCCAGCCCCACGCAGGGTGACCCCGGGGGCCACCCCGAATTGCTCCCACCCCTCCTGCCCGCGCCCTCCCCCCTCGGCAGCCTCCCGGGGCTCCGTGCAATGAAGCAGCCCCTCACGCCTGTGCCGCGGCCTAATTATTTTTTTTGGGGGGGGGGCGGGGGGGTGTTGCTGCAAATCCAGGCCCCACACCCCCTTGCCCCCCACAGCCGCCCTCTTTGTAGCACAGTTCGCGTTTTTTTTTTTTACCCTCCCTTTTCTCCGCCTTGATATCCCTGAGCGTGGTTGCTTCGTGTTTCCCTCCCTCCGTGCCGCACCGCTCGGGGTTCACGCGGCAAAATGAAATGGGGGCGGTGGTTTGGTGGCGGTGGCCCTGCACGGCCTCCCCGGCCGGAGCATCCTCTGGCAGCCGGACCACGGGCGGGGGGATGCGGGGACACGGGCTGGAGCCCCGCATTTACACCGAAAAAGGGCCACACTGGACTGGTGCCTATGGTGGCGGGGGTTGGTCGGAACCCCCCTCCCCTTCTCGTGGGTCAGAGAGATGTTAAAAGCGATGCTCAGCCCAGTTTTCCTGCAAGGAGCTCCCCCACCCCCCCCCTCAAAAAAAAAAAAAAAAATCAAAAAATGAGCCCCGCCGCCAGCAGAGAGTAGGAGTTAATTTATGGTGGGTGCATCGCAAAGCTTGGTGACACTAATAAGGTGCTGGCTGAAGCCATTCCTGACTGTGTCTGGCAATAGATCTTAGCTTGTCAGGTCAGAAAATTAAAATGTTATTGATGGGGGAGGTGAAGCGTGGCAGTGTTTTTTATTTTATATTTTATTTTTCTTTCTCCTTGGTCAAGCTGAGAGCTCTCTCGGGCAGCAGTGAGAGCCCCAATCCCAACTGCCCAGGGGCTCCCCTCTGCATCCCACCCCACTGAATGGCTCAGACTTATATTGCCTTTTTTTTGTATGTTTGTTTGTTCGTTTGTTTTTCCCCCACCTTCTAGGAAGTAATGCAGGACAAAAATACAAATATGCCCTACAGAGGTGGGGAGCTGCATCTTCCCTGTGCTGTTGGTACATTTGCAAGGATACCTCCCCAAAGCGACTGCTCCTGAGCCATTCCCGGCTGCAGGATTTCTGGAAGGAGGAATTTTGGGGAGAGTGGAGATTAATTAATTCAAGCCCAGGTGGAGGAGACTTTAGTGAAGCAGTAGAACAGCTGCCACATCAAAAGAAGTGCTGGTCTCCGGGCAGGGAAATGCCGGGGCTATTTTTAACTAATTAAATAGATGATTTAGCACTGGACTGATCTTCTACAAAAGAAATTCAACAGAAAATCCTGATTAAACCACGTGTCTCCAATCAAACCCATATTTTAAGTTGCAGCCCATAACCTCGGGCCATGTTTCTCTCCTGGGGCTGAGCTCCTCGTCTGCTCCTGGTCCCTAATTTGCCCCCATGGACCAGATCTGATAGGGAGCAGCCCCAAAATCGGGCTCAAGGATGTTTATTCCTCAGTGGGAAGAGTCAGAAGGGAATAAATAATGCTGGTGAGGAGCCCTGATACCATGGGGATGGTACCTAGCAATCCAGGGCTGAAAAAATTCCGCTTGCTGGGTCAGAATTGCAGACCCAGCTTTACTTTTGGGCGAAAATGGAGTTTTATTTCCTGCTCTTGTTGATCAAAGGGTGTTAGCCACAGTCTCTGCTTGTGTGGCCCC